CCACTGACAGCCCGATGCCAGCTCCTGCAGGAAGCCTTGCTGGAGCCCTGCTCCCTGGTCGTTCGGCATCACACCGAATCTGTAGCTCTCTACCCGCCTCCCCACCCCTCCCAACCTTCCCCCTCTCTGCTGCCCAGAGAACACAGCTTCCCGAGGGTGGGAACTCGGCAGTCTGGCACCCGCTGCATCCCTAAGCGCCTCCCGCCCCCCACAGGGCGTGCCACCTCCCACCTCGGGTGGAAAACCCTGGGCCTCGGGCTCCTACCTCCCTTGGGCCCAGCACTCCATGTGCCCCTGGCTCTTCTATCGTACTCATATGTTTGTTCTCTGCCTTCCTTCCTCGCTCCTCCCACCCTGAACCCAGCCTTTCCATGGGGGCTGCTGTCCTTAGGGCGTCAGGGAACTTCTGCAAACTGTCCTTGTCTAAGCCTTCTGCCCATCTCTGCTCTGAACTTCAGACCTGCAGTTCTAACTGCCTGCAGGACGTGGAAGTGGTCACTTTCTGTGCAGATGTTACTTGTTATACCTGAGTCTGAACTAAGCGTCGTCTCCTCCTGACTCCCTGTTCATGGTCATGGTTCTGTGACCACCGTTTGCCCACTGCTTTGAAAGACAGCCCTCCAGGATGGTAGGAGGCTAGAGCCAGAGAGGACTCCACCTCACCTCTGGTGTCGGGTAGAAACTTCTGCTCTCTGATCTCTTTGTCCCTATCCGGTGTGACAGGGACAGGGACAGGGTTGGAAGGAATATGCACAAAGAAGCAATGACTCCTGTGTCCAGCAAACGAATCAGGTAAGTGACCAGACAGCCCTTCGACCTGGTCACTGAGAGAGAGACTCAGGCCCAGGTGCAGCGCCCCGAGGCCACTCAGGCGCAGCAGACCCCTCCCTGCGTGTGTCCTGTGGTTCTGGTGCTTCGTTTCTCAGCAGTATTTTACTGATTTACTGCGTGCACTTCCTGTGAGCTGTCTCAGGCCCTCTCTGGAGCAAGTGGAGAATACATGAATATTTAAAATAAGATCAACAAAATGTCAGTGTGTGTGTGTCTTAGGCTGGAAATTCCTTAAGGGCAAGGACCATGTCTGTTTATATAGCACCTGGCATAGTGTCAAATTGGGGCTTAACAAATGAATTTTGATGAAGATGAGAAAAAAGCTGCCTGCACGAAGACACAGAGGTCTAGGCATCTCCGTCCAGCTAAGCCTCCTCCAAACCCCCTTAGCAAGGGGGACCCCTCGTCCTGCCAGCCCAGATCCTCACCCTATTCCTGATCACTGGGCTTCTTTCTGTCATCCCTGCCCTGTCCACACCCCCCATAACCACCCTTGTCCTGGCCAGCACTCTGCTGTCAGAGACGCGCCCCTTCCTCACTCAGATGCAGCCACAGCCCCCTCTCGGGGCTTCACCCTGCCCACCTTCCCCGCCGTCCGGCCCCACAGGCGCATCCAGGGCCGGGTGCGCTCTCTCGTGGTACGAAGAGATGCCAGCAGCCGAGCCATTGGAGGTGCTGTCCCCAAGCGTGCCTTGGCCCTGTGGGGGACTCCAGCCAGGCGGGGACCTGGCAGAGGGAGGGCGAGGATAAGCGGCTTCAAAACTCCAGATGCAGCAGTTAAAAAGAGGACAGAGGCAATGATCCTTCAAATTGCCACATCTGTATAATCTGCCTTTTATTTTCTGCTTCATGAAGTTTTATTTCCTATTATTTATTCACCTCCCCGCCCTCCCCTCCCCCACCTCAGCCCCTCATAGCAGGAGACATGCCCAGATGGGTCCTAAGCCGGGTCCGGGCCACCCCCAGCTCCCACCCTGGGCCGGCTGCCGCCAGAGGGGCACCTGCTCCCCCCACAGTGTCAAAGTCCCCAGGCCCTCCCTCCAGCCTCCAAGTAGAGTTGGAGGAAATGGAGATAGAAGGGACCAGGGAAGTGAGGCCTGTCCCCAAGGCCTGTACCACTGTCACCACCCCTGAGCTGGAGCTTATGGGGAGAAAGAGCCAGTTGAGTTTCCACCTCCATGTACCGGTCTCCCCTCCTGTGCCTCTTTCCCCTTGTCCGTCCAGGACCCTTGTCCTCTTCCCTTCGGCATCTGGACCTGTGGTCACATGGCTGAGCTGGTCCCAGCCTCACGAGGAGGGTCTTGTGGTGGGGAGAAGGGGACCAGCCAAGATCACGTAGGGAGGGGCAGCTTCCACTCTGTTTTAAGGCCCTGGGAAGCCCCCCGACCCTTTCCCTGCGCACCGTCTGAGCAAGGCCCAAGTCCTCCAGTGCAGCCCCCGTCTGGGTGCCCAGGCTGGGGCCAGGCCGAGCCGGAAGGTATTTGGGAAAGGACATGTATTTCTTGCCTACCGCCCTCCCTGAGACACAGAAACACGAGGGGAAGCCCTTTCCCAGGAAGCCTTTAGGCCCGAGGTTTAGAGTCTGGAGTCGGTTGCTGGTGGCTGCTCCTTGGAGAAGCTGAGAATGGCAGAGGAAGGCCTGGGGCCTGAGGGGCTTTGCAAATACCACCTGGCCCCCCACAGCACTTCCTGTCACACCTCTCATGCCTGTCATTGCTGTCCCACCTTGCTCTGTAAATTACTTTCACGAAAGTCTCATTTCTAAGCTCCAAGGGTTTTTTGTTTTGTCTTTGGTTTATTGTTTTCGTGGGGGATATAACAATCCAACTGGATTCATCTTGTTTTCTTCTGACTGCCTGCCACAGGGTCTGGCACACAGTAGGTGGTTTATGAGAGACTTCCAAATGAATGAGTGTGACTTCTCGAGCCCAGCCTGCACCACCTGCAGTCAGTGGGCTCTGTTGTCTGCCCCAGGCTGGAAGGCTCTCGACACCTGGCTGTAACTCAGCCAGCTGAGGCAGCACCCTAGGGCCCTCACCCCCACCCCAAACAGAGATGGGATTCCAAATGTGAGAACGTGGCTTTGGCCTGTGGTTTAGCGGAAAAGTACCTGGGGAATTTGGGGGAAGGAGGGCCTCATACCTGAACCAGTCAGACGAGGCTGCGTTGCCTTCCACTGACCCAGGTGACTGTGGAGTCACAGTGCTGGGCTGCACGTCACCCTGGCCCCAGCCTCGCATTCCACAGCTGAGGAAACTCAGGGCCCCAGGAGGCTCCAGTGCGGAGGGTGCCAGGTCCAGGCTCAGGCTCTTTAGCAGAAGGGATGGGGAATGGAGGTGAAGACCTTATGACAGGGGCTGGGTACTATGATTGTAACTAACAAGCCCCGAGGACCCCCACGGCTCAGTCCCTGAAATGGCTGGAGGAGCAGCCCCTCCCCCACCCCGGTTTTGCCAGGAGTCATCCCTTCTTTCTGCCCCGTCTCTTTCCCTTTGGTGGGAGCTGAGTTTCCATTCAGACCGAGCTCATCCCTTGCAGACACTTTCTGTTCTGCTGCAGTGAGGTCCCTGGGGATCAGGTAGGTAGACTGGGCCTCTTATCTCTCCAGCAGGTAGTTGTGGGGGGATCTGTGTGGGCCACAGTTAGGGCCTCCCCGCTGGTGCCCAGGAGGCAGGGGCAGGTATGAAAAGGCAGCTGGAGGGTGGTGGAAAGATGAGGTGGCGGGAAGGTGAGCTCCCAGTCCAGGCTCCTAGCAAGGTCTTTGTTGTCAGTTAAGCTTACTACCTATGACACCACCCCCCAAAAGCAAACAAACATAGAGCAAACAAACATTTATTTGTAAATACATACATCTCTCCCCCAGGCTGGCTCCTGGGTTTAGGGTGGCTTGTGTCTGACTGGTACGTGGGCCTGGGCTCTCTGACACGGGAAGTATGTTTCCTGGGGAGGAGCTCAGGGCAGTGGGGGTCTTGGGCATGGAGGGGGCGCGATGTTGGCTCCATGCTGCTGCTGGTTTGATTTATCCCTAATGAGTTCTCAGCACATGGCTGCTCCCAGCGCACTCCAGGGGCCAGCGCGGCTTCCCGCGGCCCGGCCCACAGACTCCGCAGCAGCCGCTGCTCACTCAGAAAAGAGCCAATTTCCACGCTGCACAGTCCGCTTCACTCGCGGGAAATCACATTTCCCTGGGAGAGCCGCAGGCAGCGCCTCACTCCCCAGCCTGGCCGGCTGCCACGGGCGCAGATGGAGGAGCTGGGCCACCTCCCTCCCCCACCCAGCCCCCCACTTCCCACCCCCAGGAGACCTGAGCCCCTGCTCCAAATCTCCAGGAAGCCTGTTCTCAGCTGGGACCTGGCCTCCACTGCCCGGAAAGGGGAGGAGAAAGGCTGCTGTGCACAGAGGATGCTGACTGGAGGAGGCCTGGCCTTGCCTGGCTCCCCCAGCTTCTTCTTCTAAGGAGCCGGGCACCAGCTCTGTGTGAGGGGCTTAGAGACTGGAGGGGGCTGATGGTAGTATGTGTATGTGTGAGGGGAGAGGAGGGAGCAGGTGTCTGTCACCAGGAGGTCAAGGCCCCCAGTGCAGTGTCCCCAGCACCCCAAGGACCCAGAGGAAGAGAAGAAAGCAATGAGAAGAATGGGAAGCCAGAGAGAAGGGGATGGACAGGGCATCTCCTGATCATGTGCAGGGACTCAGAGCCCTTCCCACACCCTGGAGATGCAAAGGTCTCTTAAACGGTGGCAGGAAAGGAGTGGTTACTTCGGACCTGGCAGAAAAGGGGCTGGAATGGGAAGCTGAAAGAGGAAAAAGGAAAGAGAAGGAGGGGAGGGAGAGGCAGTCAGCCGCCTTTGTGGGATGGGGGACCCTTGCTTTCACCAGAACGACAGCTGAGACCAGCTTAGCTGGTCACTCCTGTCGGAAGGTGACACACAGCCTGGGGCACAGGCACACCGGAGCTCCTTCGGGTGGAGGACGTGCCCCGTGGCCCTGAGGGCTGGAGAGCCGGGGCTCAGGGCCGAGGATGGAGTGGAAATGGGCTCAGCCTGGCTCTCCCCCTCCACCTAAGGGCTGGCCTCTGGGCCTTCCACCCAGGACTACTCTGCCTGCTGGGAGCCAGAAACTCTGCCCACCCCCGCCCCAGCCCCACCCCCTCCCAAAAGCAAAAGGGCCTGAGGCCTCTGCAGAAGCTGGGCTACCACCAGACAAGGCCTTAGAGGCCTTAGAGGCCTTAGATGAGGGTGCAGATTCAGCTATGGTCCCAACTCCTTAGAATGGCCTTGAAAAGGTCATCTCTTGTTCTCAATTTCCCCAAGTGCACGATGGGGCTAGTGTCATGAATTAGAGAGGAAAATGGGTGGATGTGGACAAGTTTTACAGACAGAAAGACACTACGGCTAAGGGGAGGGCTGTCGTCACTTCTGAGGGTGAGAGGAGACAGAGAACAGGAGGAGTTAACTGGGTGGGGGTGGGGTGGGGAAAGAGGGCCAGGAGGGAGCCCCCAAGCCACTGGGGGTCAGCCCCCTCTTCCTGTACCCACTCCAGGACAAGGACACCAGGAGAGTGTGAGGAAGACTCAGGTGGATGTGTGGGAAAGGCGTGTGTGAGGGGAGGAAGTAGGAGAGGGGAGCCCTCAGCAGGCCCCCAACCTGTGGGCTGCCGAACTAACTCCCCTGCCTGAGGTTGTGCGACCACTGAGTGTGTTCCTGGCAAGGAGGGGCAGGAAATTCATGTTCTTTAGTAAGAACGTACAGCAGGAATATTGGAGAAGCTAAGGGAGGGTTGGACTCAGCCCAGGGCTGGCCGGCCTTGGAGGCAGGGCTCCCAGCGGCCCCGTCCCCAGCCTGAAGCACAGAGGTCTCAGCAGCTCCAGCCCACCTTAGAAAGATGGGCTCTGCCCCACCTGGTGGGGCCAGGTTGGGTTCGAGCTGCTCTGTCTCCCCCCGTACAGGCGTTGCCTGGCCCACACGGGGTCTCTGTGGGCTCCAGGGCAACCTGCCCCCTTCCCGTGAAGCTGCCTTGAGGCTTCCCACCTTCCCACACAGCCCCAAGACAGAGGCCTCCAGCTGAAGCTCTGCAGCCTCCTCTGTCCCCCACACCTTCTCCTCACACCCTTCTCTGCTGTGCCCACACGTGCCACCTCAGCTTGTCCCGTCAGTGCCTCAAATCATCTTTCTCCCTCAACACACAGATGACGCATTTCCTGAGTCCCAAAAGGGACCCACAGTTTGACTGTGGACACTGCCCTTGGCCCCACCACACTCACCAGCACTGTCTGAGCAGTGTCCCGGGTGCACGGGCCACCTCAGGGAACCAGTCACCTGCAGCACAAGCATAGGCCAAGTCCCTTTGTCACTCAAGGGCGGGACAGGTCCAGCCAGGTGCACCAGTGTCTGATGCTCGGCAGGCTCCCTGGGTGCCATGCGTCTCAAAGTGATTTTGGACAGGGACCCAGGAACCAGGTGGGGGCTGCCTTGGGACCTCAGGAACCCAGAGCTCAGGATCATGAGGAGTCTCAAGTATATAGAGTTCAGTCCCACCGCCAGGCTGATAGCCAAAGGGAAGCTGTTATTGAAGGACAAATGTCATCTCAGGTCCCCTGGGAAGCGACGGGGACCGGTTTCCTCCGTGGGAGCGTCCCCTCACCTGCGGATCCACGCTGCCCTCAGGGAGCATCCCCGGCCTCTCCTGTTTCTCAGGCTCTGCCCTCCCAGCCTCTGGGTCCCCGGATGCTGGCTATTGGGGTGAGGACTCCTCTTCTGTCTGACACAACCCCAGTGGCTGTGTGCCCAGACGTCGAATGCGCCACACAGTCCTGCTTGTTGCAGAGTCCCCCACGGAAAGGGTCCACATGGGCAGCAGGGCACCCCTGGGGCCAAGCTCTGTGTTGGGGACAGGACTGCTGTAGCCACCGCAGTATGTGCCCCCTTGTTCTCCAACACTTATTAGAAAGGCGGTGTCCCGACAGGCTCCCTGCTTCTTGGCGTTGCCACCCCATGCCTCTCCATGGCTGCCCTGCATCTAGAACCCTCTGGCAGCCATACAGGCCTGAACCTACCACCTCCCCTCTTGGATTTTTTTTTCTGAGCGTCAGCTTTTCCACAGGTAACCTGGGGCTAACCCCACCTTCACTGATTCGAGGCCTCCACCCTGTGTCTGGCACAGCAGCCCAGTAAATGTCTTCCCACTTCCCTCCTTCACATCCTGGGGCTGCTGGGCTGCTTCTGTGAATGGCCACTCCCGGCACAGTCACCAGCCTCCCCACCGACTGTCTGGTTTCTGTGAACAACAGCAACCACTTATGGGGCATCTGCGACTGGCCCGGGACTGCGCCATGTGCTTCCTTCATGCCCCCCTTTACCCAGAGCTGGAGAAGTCAAAGCGTGGGTTAGGTGGTGTGCCTGGTGTTAAACACGGTAAGGCGGAGGGAGAATACTAAGCCAGGCTCCTGGGCTTTAGATGGCCCTTTGCACCCCGGCCCCAAAGTGTGCTCACTGTCCACTGGACCTGAGATTCTCTGGACAAAGCCTAGTCCAGTGCCTCCTCCCCAGTCAACCCTGGAGCCTGAAACGGAGTAATGCTTTATTGAGTTGAGTGGCAATGGTGGTGGTCGTTAAAAAAGAAAGAAGCATTGGGGAGAGAAGCCCAACATGGCAGGGAGACAATTCACTGAGAGGCCACAGTCTGGGTGGACAGAAAGAAGCTGGACCACGCAGAGCTGCATTTACAGTATTTACAGTCAGGCCGTGGGGCAGGAGCTGCAGGTGCAGAGGGAACCTGCATCGCTGGCTCAGGAGGCAGCACACCTCCTCCGGTGCGAGGGGCTTGGCCCGGGTCCCCAGCAGCTCTGCCTGCTCTGAGCAGGGCCCTTTGGAAAGTCTGTGTCCAGCTGTAAGAGGCTGCTCTCTGGGATGAGCTGCAAGAGGAGAAGCCGGGTGCACTGGTGCATCACAGCAGCAGGCAGAGGGAAGGCCCCTTGACCACTGGGTGGAGCTTCTGGGTGACTGGACCCAGCCCTCAGCTGGTGGCCAAGAGAGAGCTGCAGGAGGAGCAGAGCAGGCTGGGTTGGGGAGGTGGACGGCAGGAGCCTCAACTCTGAGGCGGCTTGGTAGGAGTGACCCTGAGGGTGACTGTGGGGACAGCCTTTGCACTGGCTGTGACTTGTGGGCTGGACGGAAGTGCTAACAACCCAGGAACACTAGAGTGTGTTGATGGTAGAGCCACAGCGCCACCCTGGGCCGCCAAGCCCACTGTGGCCAGTCTGCCCTCCCTCCCAGGCACTCTGCCGCTCCCTCTTCTCTCCACATTTCTCCAGTTCTGTGTCTTTCAGGATGGGAGGTCCCTCCCTGGGAATCCTGCACTCACTGAGGAATCTTGGAGGACAGTCTGGCATTCTCCAAAGTCATCCTGTCTTTCATGGTTCATTAAGTCAGCCACACAGGGAGTATGACCCATGAGGCTGGACTTGTGGTTATTTTCATGTAATAAATAAAGATTCCTTTCTGTGACTCTCTGGGGCCTGTCCCAGACCTGGTCCTCCTGCTGCTCCGTCGCTCCCACTGTCCCCATGGCGACTACAGGTGGTCAAAGGCCGTGGCGGTGCTGGGTGGTGCGCTCGGCCTTGATGTGGAACTGTAATAATATGGGGAACCTGGGCATGCCAAAAAAATAATAACACCACTGGTCAGAAGGGGAAATTGTACCACAGCCTCCTTGCATCTGCTAACCTTTAAGACAGCACAGGTTAATCATTTATCCCCCTGGCCTATCTGATCATCAAAGATTAACTCCTCTCAGCCTGTTTCCTCCTTCTCTGACCTCACCTTTGAGTTTCTGGCCAGAATGAGGAGGTGGCTTCTTGTCCCTCCCCCTATGATTACTGTGACCTTCAACGCCCTTGTTTCAGAGAGAGGGCAACAGGGAGCAGTCACACCTGGAAGCCTGAGAACACGCACACGGGGAGACCCTAGGGGTTCCCCTGCTTTGCCCAAACTACGAGGTCGCAGAAACTTCCTCCTCCAAACCAGAGGGATTCGAGTCCCGACTGGTCAGTGGGGGCTGTGCACTGACAGCCCCCATGCGGGACGCTCTGCAGGGAGGTGACTGACACCCCCCCACCCCCACACATCTCTGCCTCTTCAGTCTTTCTGGCTAAACGCAGCAGAAGGTGGCTGGAGGTGAAGTCATCCGGCAAACAGAGAGAGCCCTGGTCGGCCACCCTCCCAGCCATTTCTGGAATGCCAGCAGAGGGGCGTCTCGGGGAGTGGACGGTCTGTCCAGGCCCGCGATGGTGTCGCAGGGACAGCCACGCTTGTGCCACTGCCTCTCTCTGGCCCAGATGGTTCAAACTCATCCCTCGGGGAGACTGAGTAGGATTCCTCAAGTTCCGCACTTGTGGGGCTTGGTTTTCTGAAAAGCTTCTCTGCGCAGCCCAGGCCCCAAGGCAACAGGGGTGCAGAGCAGCCTGCGGGTCACTCTCCAGACCCAGATTCTGAGGGCCGCCCACATCTCAAGCCAACTTCCAGGAGTGTGGTGGAACAGAGGACTTCTGTGCAGGGTTGTGCTGCTGCCACACGAGCACTTGTGCGCCACTTAGATGGGCGATGTGGGCAGCAGGACAGCCCTCGGTGCCATCAGCACACTCCCAGGCAGGGGGCAGCAGGCACTCCGCATGGCACCCACCAGCGTCTGCCGTGGCCGGACTGGGAGCCCCTGGAGGTGGGGCATTTACTCTGAGGCTCCTTAATCCACCCTGGTCTTTCCGAGGCCTAAGCCCTGGATTCTACTCAAAAGAAGGATCTCATAGACGTGGCTTTGGGCACTAAGAGAAAGAATGGTGTACGGAAGTCTTCCTTCTGCCCTCTTCCCCAAACCACCTGGCCACAACCTGGCACACTGCCTTCCTGCTGGAATTATGAGTAACACCTGTCTCCCCAGGCCCTGCTCTAACCTGGGCCTCCCAGATTTGAGATGACTCTGGCCCAGCTTTGCACCCCACTGGCCCTGCACAGCAGAGGGCCTGAGAGGCCCAGAGGGACTTACTCAGCAAGCTGGAGTTCGGGAAGCGCCAGGCCTCGCTGTAGGACGAGTAGGGGGTGTGGCCATAGGCATTGCCAGAGTATTCACTTCCTGTTGGAGGCACATAGGTGAGACGTGAGGTGGAGCACGGATGTGGGGCTGGGGTTGGAGAGAAGGGTATGCGGGGCTGGCACTGGGTGAGCCCTGGGGAACAGGTGGAGCCGGGGCAGGACAGTGGGAGCTCAGAAGGCCCTTCCCTTGAGGGGCCCTCAGCCAGCATCGTTTTGAGCAGGGTCCTTTCCACCAGATACCAGACCCCTGCCCTAACAAGCCTGTCCCTCGCAGGAACCACAGAAGGCAGATGTTCTTATTATGCCCATTTTCCAGGTAAAGAACTAGAGCCTAGGGATTTGCATATGCTCACACAGCGGGGGGTGGTTGTTGGAGTTTGGGAGCTGTGACTCCAGGGCCCAGGTTTGAACCCCTTCCACTGCTGCCGCCGGGACCTTCCATGCAGGAGCTCCAGGAGGGGTCAATGGGGTCAGGGGGCAGAGGGGGTCCCACTGACAAGTCATTCCTGTGCCTAAACGGCTCACGCTCCCGGGCATGTTCGTCAGGGAGGGGTGTGTGTGTGTGTGTTGGGGGAGAGATGTTGGAAATTGGGGAAGGAGAGGCAGGAGAGGCCCTGGAGGCACCAGCCTCTGGGGAAATCTGTCCTGGGAGCTGCTCTGCGGGTCTTGTCGTCCCATCCCAACGCTGCCACTTTAAGCAAACTTGGTGCATAAATTTACAGAAAATAATCAGATCGCTTCTTTCTGTGAATGCATTCTTGGCTTTACAAAAGGATTATTTACCAAAGAAATTACTTAGGAATGCCCTTGAATAACCACCAAGTCAAGCGGGCACACGAGTTGGTCCTTCCGCACATGCCATGCCCCTCACGCCCACGGCCCTCCTGCGCAGCACTCCTCCCGCTGCCGGTTCACAGAGGGAGGTTGGGGGCGCGGTGAAGTGGCTGTTCAGATCACACCTCCGTGAGGGGCAGAACTTGACCGCAAGGCTCTGTGCTCTGCACTTCAGGCAATCCCTTTCTGCAGTTAGAATTCCCATGACAAAGCCGGGTTCTGGCCAACCCCGAGATCCCGTCCGTCCGTATCCACCTGTCTTTCTGAAACTCGTTGCTGAGTGCCTCTGTGGCTCCCGGTATCCTTCCCAGACTTTGAAAGGGAGGCTTGAAACTTCTGAGCCTCGGGTCAAATCCTTGCCCTGCCCCCTACTTCCTGGCTATGTCTCTTTGGGCAAGTCACTTAACTTCTGTGAGCCTTGCTTTCCTCATCTGTAAAATGGGGCGTGTTGTCGTCCTTATCTCTTGGGGTTTTTGTGAGGATTGAGTTAGATAATGTACTACATTAAACGCTCAGTACCATCTTTGGTGTGTAAGAAACACTCAAGGAATGCTAGCTTTTATTCTTTCCCCATTAATTAAGAACATGCTCAAATAAAGCTCTAAAGCCCTGGTTGGGGTCTGGCCCTGGGGCTGCCCTGCCAGAGAAGGAGGAAGCACTAGTAGAGGAGGGATGGAAGAGAGGAGGAGGGGCAGGGGGAGGAAGCAGAGGGAGTTGGCAGGCTGGCTGGCCTTGTGCAGTAACACAGCAAGTTACTTAGCCGGGAGACTAGGTCCAACTCAAATCAGGCTCAGAAAAATACATGTAAAGTGGGAGAGGCAGGGAAGGAGGGAGGGAAGCAGGAAAAAAGCACAGAAAAAGAGAAAGGAAGAAACTGAAAAATAATCTACTCTGACTGTTCATTTCCCACATGAAGAAACTGCTACCCAGAGAGGGAAAGACTTTACATAGCTCAGTGCCACCTGTGCAATGGAGCTTGCACCAGGACAGGCCCCAGCTCCTACTCCAGCTCTTGTTCGCACCCTGCCATGCAACAGCCTGCTCCCGTTTACTGCTGGTGTAGGCAGACCCCTGGTTTCACGGCACCCAGGGAGGAAGCCAAGTCAATGCTGGCTGCACAACAAGGGCCCCCGTGCCTCCACCGCCCCCCCCCCCCACCACCCAGTGCCAATACACTGGCTCTACAGGACAGGAAGGCAGATGGAAAATGCAGTGTGTCTGCCCTCTCATTTTGTCACTTACTCATGCATTCACTCACTCACACACATAGTCACCTACTGAACTCACGTCCGCTGGCTTCTGTCTGCTTCAGTCACAAGGAAGCTGCGGCAGGGACGGGACTAGGGAGGTGACACAGCATCCTCCCACCACCAGACCTGTCCGTGTCCCTGCACCCACAAAAGGCCAGGTATCCTCTTTGCTCTGCATCCCACCCCACTCATTGTTGGAAGGCCTTGGCCCCGACAATGGATGCCTTCTCCTTTCTGCTTCATTGGTTCTCCCTTTCTCATTCATCACTTCCTTTAGCCAGCAAACATGCTTTGTTATCTTCTCTTTTAAAATGCTCTTCCTATCCCACATCCCTCTTCGGATCCCAGCCCTTCTCTCTGCTCCACTGTCTCTGGCTTCACCTCCACACTTCCCTCCAATCAGGCTGACCCCTCGTCTCCCCCAGCCTCTACCCAGTCATTCCAGTGGTCACTCTGTGTCCACCACCCCTTAAACTCTCAGCTGACTGTGACTCAGCCACCTATCCCTCTCTCGGGGTGTGCGTCCTGACCCACTGGTCTTTCCACCTTACTCTCTTGTTTACTTCTCTGCAAGAACTCTGAATGTTGAAGAGCCCCAGGGCTTAATGTGGGAGCATTTTGTGAATTTCCACCCACATCCTCTCTCCCAAGATCCTGTCAAACCTTTGGCATTAAACAGCAGCTCTGAACAATGGCTGAAATGCAGGCCCTCATTGGAATGGTTTGCTGGCTTCAGACATATGTTGTGCCTACTGATTTACTAAATTGTGTGCCTAGGAGGTGTCTCAATCTTAACCTGGCCCAACAGAACTCTAGATTTCCAACTGCCACACCCTCTGTCTCTTCCTCTGCTGGTCTCCCCCGTGGGTACTCGCCACCACCATCCACGCAGTTTCCCAGGCTCCAAACCTAGGGGTCATCCTTGTTTCCTCAATGTTTGAACCCCTACAACCAATTCACCAGCAGGTGTTGTTGGCTCCACCACCAGCATTTGTCCTGAGTGTCTCTATTCTCCTCCTTCGCTGCAGCCCCTAGCCCAAGGCCACTGCACGAACAACTGCAATTGCCCCTCCTGTAACTGGTCTCTGTGCTGTCTCTATCCACTGCCTACCATCAGTTTTCAAAGGAGCCTGAGTACTCTTAAATTGGACCCTGCCAACCTCTCATCGTAGTCCTTTCCCTGCTCACTCACGCCCTTTGTCTGTGTGCAACCCCACTAAACTAGTTCCTGCCTTGGGGCCTTGGCCCTTGTCCTTCAGGGTGGGGGATGGTCTGCCCCAGTTGGTCACTTGGCTGACCACTTCGAACACCTCAGAGAGGCCTCCTTGGTCACCCAATCTAAAGTAGTATATCCTCTCCCTGTGGCTTTGTATCACATCATCACATTTTGTCTCTTTACAGCATTTGCTGCTATCTAAAATTATCTTGCCTATTCATTCATTGACTTGTTTACTGTGCTTTTTTCTCCAGTACTAGGTTGTAAGCTCCATACATGGACAGGCTTGTCTTGTTCATTGCTATATCCCCAGCATCCTATGCCGCAGATCCTCCACCGTATTTGTTAAGTGAAAAAGTAGTGGGTGGGTGGATGGTTGAAAAAGTGGATGATGAAAGGATAGATACTGAAAAAATGGATAGATATGGAAGGAGGGATGTATCAAAAAATGGATGGGTAAATGGAAGGATAAATGGATAGATGGATGGAGGGATGGAGGGATGGAGGGATGAAAGGATAGATAGATGGATGAATAGGTGGAACGATGGATGGACGGAGGGATGGATGGAGGGATGAAAGAATGGATGAGAAAATGCCTGTACATATGAAAAATGTATGTAAAGATGAATGGAAGAAAAGATGGATAGATGGGTGGATGGATGGATCAAACCAACTCTGAAGCTGTTGGTTCAGCTCCAGAACTGGTGTGAGCATCATTAACTATGTTAATGGGCCAGGGACAACAACAACAACCACGAGAAGGCAAAACAAGAGAAATCTGTGTCCTGTCCTGTTCCTGTGTTGCTGTCCTATAGCTGGCGTGTCATTAAATCTGGCATGGTGGGAGGCAGTGTTAAAACACCTGTTTTTGAACAACTCAGTCACTTAGTATGGCTATCACCCTGAGCATACATACCACCTTGCTTTTCTAAGCTTGTTTCCTTATTCTGATAAACCTAAGCAATGCCAGCTTCCCAGGCTTATGGTAAGGATAAATGAAAAATAGTGATATCTGTGAATGGCCAGGCACACAGAAGTGCAGAATAAGTGCTCTCTTCCTTCCTTACACAACTGACTGAAGATGCCTTGCTTGAAGCATTTATTATGTACATAGCACATAGTAGGTGCTTAATGAAGGTTTATTGATTTTAATGGAAGGGATCCTCACAGTCACTGGGAGGTTGTGGCCACTGGTAAGAGATGGACAAATAATTTTTCTACAAAAAATTCCCTAAGAATTTATTTGCATCATGAAGTTCCTAGGAACCAGGTGAAACAATTAAGTAGCATATTTTCTAGAAAACCGGATTAGCATGTAACTTATCAGGAGCCGATCCACCACACAAGGGCCCTCCCTTTTGCAATTCACTTGCAGTGGATGCTGTGGTTGTGCTATTTTTTTTTGTCCGCAACACCCACGCAGAATGAGGTCTTTCTGGAAACAACCTGGAGGCCTTTGATGAGAGGCCCAATCCTTCCAGCTACCTCACAGGTCAGATTCTGGGCCCCAGGAACCCTTTGCCCTGGGCCTGCCCCTGGGGATGATTCATAATTAAGAGAAAAGCCCTGGGCTTTATGTTTCTTCCTCCCCTCTAAGCAGGCGGCAGGGGAAGGTGGAGAGGTTGGAAGGGGGATGGGGGAGCCGACTGGAGCCTGGGATTTTGATTGAGAGGCCCCATTATCCACACTCTTAAAAAAATAACCGAATCTTTTCCTTTTTTATCTTGACCAATCTCATTTCACGCTCCAGAAGAGGAAGGGAGGGAGTGAGGGAGTCCGGGGCCAGGAGGGAGAGAGGAGTCAGTATTCTGTATTTTCAACGCTGCATTAAGCACATCGCCACGGTAACCAGGCGGCAACAAGTGCCAGCTCAGCAGGTTCCCAGGGAGCATAGAGCCTCCTTTCCTCCCTAGATTCTCCCTCCCTTCCCTCTGCCCAGGAGAGCCCGGTCCCCTGCCTCACACAGGGCACCAGAGTGGGTGGCTGGCAAAGGCAACCCCTACCAGGGACAGCGAAGCAGGCCTGGGTGAAGGAGCTTCACCCAGGGGTCAGGCCAGGGCACCTGACCCAGGGCTGGCATGGGGGTCACAGAGGCCCTGATTCAGCCCCTTCCAAAAGCTCCAGGTCCTCAGGCCCCTGGGCAATGGATATGGTTTGATCTTATCCTCCCATCCTTCCTATGTGGTTCCTAAGAGAGACACTTTCCCAAAGAGACTCTCCTTGTTCTCCTCACTTGTCCAGACCTCGACACCCTGGGTCACTGTTGGGTGGTGACCACGCCGGTGGACAAAGAAGTCTAAACGACTGGAAGACAGGACTCCGGGACAGTCCATTGGTGATGGGGAAATGTTCCCAGCTTGTCTCGCACTCTGCAGTACCGCTGGAGTATCTAGAACGAGGGTCCCTCCCATGCACGGCTGAGTGAATGTGGGGTGTGAAGGGGGCTATATTTCAACCATCATCATCATCATTGTCATCATCATCTATACCATTCATATTTAAGTGTCCCAGAAAGTAAACTGAGATTCACCAGTTAAGTAACTAGGAGACCGTGGGTTACCTAAAGGCTGGGTTTGTTTAGCTGCCAGTGTTTTCAGCCCCAAGAGCCCTCCCTCAGGCCCCCCTGAATGGATGGAAGAAGCGGCTGGGCTCGGATCTGAGCACCAGTCTGCCTCAGCTGCTCCCTGTTCATCACTGAGGGTGACGTGGGAGCGTCTGGGAAGAAGGAAGCCAAGCTGGGGAGATTCGGGAGCCAGGACTGCACTGAAGTCTGTCCTCCAGACATTTACAAAGACATGCACTTGCCCTGACCAGTGTGGCTCAATTGGTTGGGTGTCAGCCCTCAAAGCAAAAGGTCGATGGTTCAATTCCTGGTCAGGGAATATGCCTGGGTTGCAGGTTCAGTCCATGGTCAGGGCAACCAAGTGATGTTTCTCTCTCACATCAGTGTTCCTCTCCCTCTTTCTCCCTCCCTCCCACTCCCTCTAAAAATAAATAAAATACTGACAAAAAGGAGAGATGCACCCTTCAGTCCACCCTTCAGTGCCCTTTAAAAAGTCTGTGTGTGGGACACACCCTTCCTCTTGCTCCACCTTTGGCCAACACTTCCTCTTGGCAATGTGCCCCCAGCCCCTGCACGGCCCATCCCCTTACCTGCCACCATGCCTGCGATGGCAGAAGAGGCATAGCTGCCCTGTCCGCTGGTGGGGATGTGGGGTGGGTATCCGGGCAGTGTGGGCCCCACCATCTCTCGCCCTGGAAAAACACAGCAAGGAGTCGTCAGTGGGGCCAGAGGAAGCCCCTGGACTTACTGTCTTGCTTCCTGGAGGGCGAGCGGACCTTCCCTCCAGTGACGCTACCCACTCTCAAGCCTACTTCACCGCCACCCCTCACTGTGCAGCACACCGGCTCCACCAAGAGGGGGCGCAGCTGTCGCAGTCCCACATTGTTCCCTGCTCTCCGGTGATTTTTTCACGTGAATCTTCTTCATCCATAAAATGTCATGGTGTTGGAGGGAGGTGGGGGCTATGTCTTCTGGGTCCTCATTATCCCCAACAGCGTCGAGCACAGCAGTGGGCACAGCTGTCCTAAACAAGTACATTAGAGGTCCCTGCACTCAGAGCTCACACCCCTCCAGCCCCGGCTCCAAGCAGAACCGAGAACCAGGCCCTACGTGGGGTGGCATAGGTGTGGCCTGCTGGCCCCTGCTAGCCTGTTTTGGACCCGTGGAAGACACTGCTAATCAGTCACTGCACTTTTCCCCCTCTGAGCCAGGGGGGTTCCTCCTGGCCTGACAGGTGGATACCATCTATCAGAGTTACAAAGGGCCGGCTGGCTGTCCCGACCTGGAAAGAAGATATGGGCCGACATGCATGTTTACACGGGCCCACAACTCCCACATCTGTCTATTCCATTCCTGAAAAAAATTTTTTCAGCAAAGCAGACGCCCATCTCTTTGTTAATCCACATTTATGGGTGACGTTCTTGCCCTGGTGACACTGAGACAGCTCCGTGAGGTCCCCAGGCCCCTGGTTCCACCTGTCCTCCACATCAGGAAGCCAGGCCTTCCCATTCTGGAGACCCCCCGTGAGCTGGTGAGTTCCTGCCCACCCGCACCCTGTGCTGACAGCCACAGGTCCCTCCACCCACTGCTCCTTCTAAGAACCTGCAGGCCCAGAGCAGGCTCCCTCGTCAAGGGTTCTTAGCAAGGTGATGACACATGGTGGCCTGCCGAGGTTATGACAACTGTCCCAACACACTTATTAATAACGCCCATTTCACTCTCAAAAGGCCCCAGTTTGAAGGATGAATTATTTGGTCGTCTGAGCTCTCAGTGATGTTCTGTGGTTTCTCAAGCTCCATACTACTGAAATAATGGGGTTGGATCAGTCTCTGTGTGGGGTGTCCTCTGCAGAGCAGGGTATTCAGGGCCATCCCTGGCCTCTGCCCACTGGATGCCAGTAGCAGTTCCCACCCAGTGTGACAACCAGACATCTCCAAATACTGCCATGTGTCCCCTGGTTACAAAATTGTCCCTGGTCGAGAACCACTGTGTTAGATCGTGATCCTTTCACCCAGGACCTTCCATCTCTCCCACATTGGGGGCTGCTATTTCTCCTAGGGCTCATATGGGCCCCTCTGAGTCCCTGCCAACCAGCTTATCAAGTCCATCCCCTCTACGGCACTGCCTGTCCACTCCCCTCCCGTCAGTCCCTGTAGGTCCTTCACGCCCCAGCCTTTCTGGGGTGCCTGGTAATGACAGAAGAGAAGGTATGTCCATGGAAAGCTATACACTGTCTAAACCACAGTGACTAACTCCTCTTTACCTCTCTTTCTGGAGACTCCCTGAAGGCAAGTTCTTCATTCAACAGATACTTATAAATGAGTACGATATACTGGGCACTTTTCTGACCACTTGGGGACACAGCAGGAAGCAAGAATGCTACATTAGCAAGGCCAGGCACTAAGTCAAGATGGGGTGTAGACTGAGATGAGCACTGGGAGCCAAGCCTAGGGGATCAACAGACAGTACCAGGCCCACTAGACTTCTGCCCTTCCTTTAGAGGGAAGCATCTAGGAATCTGAGGGCCTTGGTTCTTATCCAGCTCACATCCCAAGTGCCGTTAGACCAGCTGCCTACCTGCACCACGACTCAGTCCCTTCACATGCGAAGTGGGGGAAAAAAAAAGAAGGGAACCTTATGCGCCCGTATCACTGTTACTATCGTATCATTATTGCTGCGATGTTATCAGTGCCAGGTTTTGTGCAATGAGTGAACACTCATCAACACAATGAACGTATTCTATGAATTGTTACATGTCAGAGGAGCCTTTTAGAACAAATTGTATTTGAAGTGAGTTATTAGTGAAACTGAGGGAAGGTGTTGATACAAATAAACACCACTCTAATTTGTTTCACCTTCAGTGCGATGTCTAGCTAGTTACAAATGGTGCTGGACCAAGCGGAATGGAACCCGCTGGGATTCTGCAGGTGGGCGTAGTGCACTGACGCAGGGTCCAAGCAAGCAAGGGGCTGGAAATGTTGGCGAGGAAAAAGGAATTTTAGTGTGTTTAGAAGTAGCAGGAAAAGGGTGCAGAAGGTATACTGGGTACAATCTTATCTTTCTTCAAAGATGACTGCAGTGTGGTCAGTTCTCAGGCTCGGCCCTCAGCCCTTGGACCAAGCGCCTGGCCAGGAGCCCACGACAGACAAGGAGTGAGTGACATGGCTACTTTAAGGGCAGTGGGAGCACAGAAGGTGGGCAGGTGGCCCGAGCAGGAGAGTGATGGGAGAGGTGGTGTTTGACTGAAACTTGCAGACTTCTCTCTTCCTTTCTCCCTACTTCCTCCTCTCAAGGGGGGAGGGTGGAGCCTAGGTCCAGGCCAGGCTGAGGAACACATTACTTAATTGCTCTGAACCGCATCTTCCTGCCCGTCTTTCTCATGAGAAGCTAGGTTGGATGAGAGATGGTGAAGTGGATTCACCTTACTTCTTGATGGACTGCTGGGGCCCCCTGGTGCACCGGGTGGAGGATTCTGAGGCTGTGTCTGTGTCCACCGCGAGAGGGCTGGGGCGCGAATGTTGGGCTCAGAGCTCAGGCAGCCTCCTTGCTGGGCTGGCCTAGGTACTGTCCAGGGCTGCCCTGCCTCCTGCCCTCATCCTGTCCCTTCTGTCTCCTGACCCTGCTGCTGCTTGAGCAGCTCAGTGGGCAGAGCTCCAGGGCACATACTCCCCTTAAGCCACAACTTACTTCAGTCACAGTTGCCCCCTGGGAATTCACACAGTTGCCCCCATGAGAATTAGCCTCCAAATTGCTCTTGGACACTGAATTCATCAGTCTCATTCCCCTGTATTCTGAGACTTTAATCCTTGTTTCTCCTTAGTCACCTAATTTCCTCCCAGCAGAACAGAGGTTTCTGAATCAAATGCCAGAGAGGACCTTGATGGCCTCCTCCTGTGACCTTGGCCTCTGGACAGGCCATTGTGGCTCCTTTCAGGGCAGCCCTCTTACAGACTGCAGTTCCACAAACTTTCCTTTCAGTCCCACAAAACTCTGCTTCAATTCCTTAAATACATGGTTTCTTCCTCAAAAGCCAAGAACCTTGAGACCTTCTTGGAAATGAAACCACGGAAGCCGAGAGGCAGAGGCCCTCCATCACAGCCTAACCATGCGCTTTTATCTACTTACTTATTTTTAAGGCTCTTCACCATAAATTTATCTTTGGCTTGGAGTTCTGTCTCCTCTGCACTAAAAGATACTTCCAACACGGTCTTATTTTTAAGAGCTGGCATAGACACAGATCCACACTGAGTTGTCATAAAGGGGGGTTCTATACGAAAACACGAGCACCTGGATATATTGGCAATACTGTAATACCAGTAGGGAGGAGGATCAGAACCACAGCGTGGAGGAATTCAGAGGGCAGAGGGGGTGTCAGACAACTTTATTTGCCCCCTTTGATGTCTGCCCTCTACATGACCCTTTTCAATTCCTTATCTTGTTCTGATAGCAAGGAGAATTTATGGCAATCCAGAAATCTCTCTGGCAGAACTAAATATAATTTTGCACAAAAGGATGGAGGCAGGTAATAGACTCTTTGATGATAACACCAAACTCAGAGGCTCCTGACCAGCTGAGCTGGAGTGAGCCCTGGAGCAGCCAGGACCAGGCGCCTCCAGACCGCTCCTGGCAAGTGGGTCGGGACCTCAGACTGGGCATCTGAAGGGAACTGGGAGGAGTGGCTGGCTATCCTACGTTCCCCAAACCCTGATGCCGCCTCACTCTTGGCTGGTTTAGGGAGAAGCTGCGAGTCAGAAAGACAGCCAGAGCCTCTGGGTTGGAAAAGGAGTGACCGGGGGAGACTGTGAAGCAGGCAGAGGTTGCAGGAGGCAGCAAGAGGGCCCCCAGGGAGCCCCAGAGGAGGAGGGTCCATGGAGGTGGGGGCTGAGCGGGTCATGGAATGCACAGTCACCACCTCCCTCCTCTCCCCTTGGTCCTGGCCTCCTTTCTTTTAAATTCACCTCTTCCTCCATTGAATAGGTTTTTAGTCCCCCCACCCTTGAGATCCTTCTCCTTCGAACCTCCTACCCTTCCTTCTGCCTATGTGGCCTCCTAGTCTGCTCACCATGATTCAGCCTCATGGTCAGTGTTTAGGTCCAGTCTCGACCAGGGGCCGCATGTGGACACTCTTTAAGGAGCTCCAGGCCAATGCCCTGGGTTCAACATGGACACCAGCCGTCACAGGCCTCATGCCTGGGCCACAGGGCTGGCCCAGCTTTGTAACTGCGGCCCTGACTTGCTTCCCACTCTTGGCAACCTGCCTGGACCCAGTCCCTGAGCCTGGGCTGCTCGCTCTCCTCGGACCCCTGACTCCGTGCTGGTTGGGCCCTTGGCTGGCCATCAGCCTTCCCAGGGGTCACACCCTGAGCCTCAGCATCACCTCGGCCTGAGCCGGGCCACCAGCCTGAAGGACACACCCAAGGTGTGCATTTGCTGCATGGATGACTCCCGGGCATCTGCCGCTAGCTACTCTGCCCCGTGGTGCATGTCCCGCAGCTGGTCTGGAGAGAGGGCATGTCACTAAACTAAGAGCTGACAGAAGTTGGAATTGTCCCCTGATTTGACTGCATGCTGCTGGGGGTGCTCGAAGCCTGGACAGGATAGCAGGGTAGGGGAAAGCTGTGGGGGCTGTGGGCACTGAGTTTGCCCCAGGCTGTTCCAGCTACACTTTGTACCAAGACCCAGGCCATGCTCTGGGACTTCTGTTCTTTCCCCTCGCTTGGATGGCCCTGGTCCCCACACTCACATGCCTCGTCCACACCCTTATCCTCTCTCTACCTGCCTCACTTCGGTCCATCTGACCTTGGCTTGCCATTCACAAGAAGCAGGCGGCCCACCCAGTGATGGCCAGTCCCCCACAGGGGACAGGGCCTCTTCTGCTCCCCCTTTCTCCTCCCCGCCCCGTCCCATTTTCTCTGGCTGACATCACTCCACCCAGCTCACAGATTTTCCTCCTTTCAACACTTTGGTCAAAACAAATGACCCATCTCCACTGACTTCACCCTCTTTTGAAATTCTGAACTCTGAGTCAACATTTTCTTTCTTTCCACCTGCACACTGGGCTTCCTTCATTAACCCTTTGCCTCTGTGCCCTCCTCTTCTAAGATGGCCTTCCACATCGGATGCGGGGATGCCCAGAGGAAAAATTCCAGGTGCCCAACTGAGGTGTAGAGTCTTTATAACAGAGGGTGGATGAACTTAGGTCAGATGACCCAGGGTCCCCCGGGCAGGTGGAGGTGTTGTTCTTCTGAGGCAGTGGTTTTCAAATCCCAGGACTCTTGGGGGGCAGAGCCTGGCTTCCAGCAGAACCTGTCATCACTTGTCTGGCTGGGGACCTGACTTCCATAAAAGCATTCATTTCAAGAGAGAGCTGCGAGGTCTCCAACGTGTTTGAAAACCACTGGTCAGAAAGGCTGTCCCCTACCCTGGCTGGTGTGGCTCCATGGATTGAGTGCTGGCCCGTGAACCAAAGGGTCACAGGTTCGATTCCCAGGAAGGTGACGTGCCTCAGTTGTGGGCCAGGCCCCCATGGGACACATTGATGTTTCTTTCCATCTCTTTCTCCCTCCCTTCCCCTCTCTCTGAATAAATAAAATCTTTAAAAAAATTATTTTTTAAAAAAAGAAGAGCTATCCCCCTTCTGCCTCCCCCATGGGTCCTGGTTCAATGCCCGGGCACACACCTAAAATAGCCCCATCGCTGTGGGGGGTCCCTCCGATATCTGAGGACAGTTATGGAACTCTGCCCTCCACCTTTACTCCCCTGAAAGCCTTCTCTGCCCAAGCCACATACCTCACTCTCTCAGCCACTGCTCAGGCCCTGGCTGGACGGCCGATGGCCTTCTGCCAGGGAGACCAGCCTTGCCAGGGTCGGACACACAGGGCACACGGGGCCGAGCCCTCACCTGACCTCACTCAGGCCCCAGTCGGCCCCTTCTCCCTGGGTCTGCCTCTTCTCAGGATAAGGGCTTTGCTCTAGATGCCCCTAAGGTGCTTCCAGCTTGAATGCTTTGAGGAGCAGAGACTCTCAGGTGGGTGAGTTGCTCTGCTGAGTGTCCTTCAAGGGCGGCGCTGTGACGCATGCACAGTGGGAGCTACACTATGGAGACCCGGCTGTGACTGCCCCACTGTCCTCTTCAGGAATTTGATGTAGAAATTGCCTCCAAAATGCAATGCCCCTTTTTCTCCGAAGTTTGGCCAACGTTTTCCTTCTTTTTAATTGTTTTTATGCAGACCAAGTGTTCACCACTTCACAGCACCTGGCTCCTGGCCTCAGGTCCCTGCTCTTCCATGGGGCCTCAGGGTGAGGTTCTAGAAATCTACCAAGCACCCACTCCAGGCACCCCCAGATTGCCTGCCCCCAGTGGTTTGATTTTGCTACTTGGGCCATATTCTGGCACCTCCAACAGTTGCCGGAGGAATTAGGGAAGACGCTGGTGATGGACAGAAATGAGGTCCAGAGAGGGGACTGGACCCCTTGGAACCAGGGGATTGGCCCTGATGACCCTCCCACCCCCACGAAGGCTGCAGGCCCAGACCTCCCTGTCATACCTGAGAGGAGGGCCTGGCCCGCGAGCTGCCCATACACGGAGGCAGCGTGGGGAAAGGCATTGAAGGGTGGGACCGAGGCTCCCGCTGGGACCCCAGAGCCGACTTGCTGCAGGTCCAAAAAGGCGGAGCTAGATAAAGAGGAAGGGGTGGAGCTAGAACTGGACACCTCGGGGCTTTCCTGCTTTATGGCGAAGGGTGAGTGAGGATCTGCCGGGGAGGGAGACAAGGAGAGAGGGTGAGATGATGGTGGGAGCATGCACAACCAAGCCATGAAATGGGGGGTGCGGGGCTCAGGACAGCGGGCAACCTCTCTGAGCGGGGCTGGGCTGGGTGCTCCTCATGCCGGGTGAGGTGGGGAGCAGCTCTACCTCTGCTGTGCCTCTGCCAGTGTATGCAGAGTGCTGCTGCACCCACCTCTCTGGCAGTGGGGTCACAGGCAGAGGAGGGGCCAAGCTGAGAGGGTCAGACCCTCGTGACCCACCAGGAGGCCCAGCCAGCACAGCCCTCTCTTCTCTCCAGGTCCAGGGCCCTAATACTTTCCTCCTCACACCAGCCATGCCCTGCCTTCACCTGCCCTCCAGTTCATCTTGGCAGCCCGGGCTGCATGGCCCAGGAGATTCTGGGCATCCTACCTGTCACCACGGGGTAAGTCTGGTGAGTTGAGAGGCTGCGCCCCAAGGGTGTGTTGGAAGTAGTCAGGGTGGCCTTCCCATCGTCCAGGGCACTGTTGAGCAGAGGCAGTGGGTAAAGGCCCTGAGAAAAAAAAGAGAAGTCAACATAGAGGCCCCTGGAGCAAGCCTTACCTGCAGCCAACATCAGAAAATACCCCCAGATTGTCCCCTTCTTCTGCTCATTCTTGACTCCATTCAGTGTGTTTAATTTATTCTTATTCTCTGACTCACAGCCCCACTATCCTTCTCTTAATCCCAGACTCAAAGTTCCCCCTCTGCAGCTGGCTGGTGACTGTTGAGCAGACACAGGACGGGGCGTCTCCCTTCAAGCACCTCACCCCAGCTGGACAGCAGGTCCCCCTCCTTATCTGCTCCCACAGTGTGAACCCACCAAGGACAAGATACGAGGTCAAGCCTTCGGCCCAAAGGACTGTGTACGGTGTTTCACTCAATCCTGTATTTTCCTCCAAATAGGAAACATGGGTGCAGAAAGGTCAACAAATGTGTTACTTCGTCATGTGGGGCAGAGCCAGGATTAAACACCAGGTGCCTGGCTCCTGGGCCGTGCTCCCAGCTGCTGCTCTAAACTGGTTAACATCAGCTGCACTTACACCTGCAGAGAGGTCTGCCTTCATTCTCCTGATCTGCCCCTGCCAGCACTGTGATGTGGGCAGGCACTGTTGTCTGTTGTCTCTGCGGAGACCTAAAGCCTCTTGTGAAACAGGGGCTGCAGTGTGGGCCCGGGCCCTGGCCCAGGTGCTCTCTCCTGCAGACGTGGTTCATCCCTAGAACAGGTGGATTTCCTCTCTCTCTCTCTCCATGTCCAAGCAAATAGAAATGTTCGGGTTCAGCTTAAAGATGCTATTTGGGTTAATTTTGTTTGAAAAATTCGTTATCAAGTAGCTGGGGTTTTCTTTATTAAGACCTCATATTAGGCTCTCCTGGTCTCCACTGCACAAGGGGCCCACCTCCGAAGGTGCCCTCTCCAGAAAGGAGTTGTTCAGTTCCAGGGGCACACATCACTCCTCCCAGTGGCCCTCCCACCAGAGGGCGAGGCAGCGCACGACACAAACTCGCTATGTGAAACTGTGCAACACTGAACTCAAGGAATGTTTCCTGAGCACAATTGCTTCCAGTAACTTCTATCGAACTGGCTCTCCAAGGAGATACAGCGCTTTCTGGTTCAGAGTTGGGCACTTCTGGCAGCCTCAATCAATTCTGGGGGCCACCGGGGCACCATTATCGTGCAGAGCGATTACCAACTCAGTGGCACTGCAGTTCCACGCCTGCAAGGGGCAGCGTCAAGGCAGGGCGGAGATGTTCACAGCCCAGCTTAGCAATTGGACAAAATACCTAATTTCTAGAGTGGGTAAGGCAAGTTTGAAATGCCTTGTGAATGTGTGGTTTCCATACCAAAATACCTATTGAAATCCTACAGCTGCTCCAAAATCCAGGAAATTCTGTGAAAAAAAAAAAAAACAAAAAACCCTCCAACCTGTACAGCCAGATATTTTGGTGACGTTGCACAGAATGGCTTGCACATCTCAGTGGTGACTGGATTTCTCACGGGGACTGGACTTGAATTGGGGTGCAGGGTGGCACGATGCTTCAGAACTAGGGTGAGCTCTGGCTCTGCACTGCCAGCCAAGAAGCTGTCGTGTTCTGACCTCTCAGAGCCTGACTCTCTCACCTGTGTAACAGGGGCAATGGGATCTGCTTCGTGAGGCTGCAGGAAGGACTGAGGTGTCACACATGCACAGAGCAGCCAGCACAGAGTGCCCGGAGCAGCGTGTGCTCTATAAAGAGTTACCACAGGCATCACTGTTGCGGTTATCGGGAGAGGCGGGAGCTGCCAAGTTCTCAGTCTCTGTCACTCTGCCATTCACTTCTGTTGATCTGCTTCTCAGTGCACTTGGAAAACAGGAATGGGAGCTGCAGAGACTCCCAAGTCTGGCAGTGAAACGGGGACAGAGACGAGGCCACGTGACGCTTCTGTCGCACCCTCTCCCTCTTTTTGATTTTACAGAAAATACAGTGTGTCTTTGCCCCACGCCGAGGCCAGGTGTGAGGACCTGTGCTTCTCTTGGCTGCCCAGACCAGAGGGTCTTGCCGTGCCAGGTGAGAGGACACGGGTGTTCCTTCGGCAGCACCATAGGTCAGCAAGGGTGGGAAAGTCACCACATGGGCTGAGCTCTCCCTGCCCCTCCAGGCGCTGGGCCAACGATGACCAGCAGGCAACTTACTGGGGGAGAGAAGCATTGCGGATGGACATGCTGGGCCTGGTCTCCTTGCCTGGAGGACGAGGGGGTGGAGCAGTGCCATGGCCTTCAAACTCTCTTTTCCAGTCCTCAGAGAAGAACCCACCTAGAAGCGCCGCCTCTACCACAGTCGGCCAGTCTCAGCCAATGCCGGCGCCTCAGGTCTGAGCCCCGCCACTGCTTGCTCGGGCCCTCCCTGCCCTCTCTGGCCCTGGCTCATCTCCACACAAATGAAGACCCTGGGTTTTGTGGCCCCAAGGTCCCTCTAGCTCTGACTCCCTCACTCCACAATCCCCTGTGCTGGTGTGCCCGCGCATGGTGCAGAGTCTCAGTTTCGAGATTGAGCAGGGTCCCTAGAGGGGCTCAGGAATGGAGCCAGGGGATGCCTCTGCAGCCCAGCAGGTGCCCAGGGCCTCAGCGACAGGGCTCTTCCACTCTGCCAGGATGGCTGGTGCTTGCACGCTGGGTTCTGCAGGTTCCTTGAACAGGGTGGGCTCCCAAGGCTGCACCCCACTCCCTCCAGAGCCATAAGCTGACTCTTGATGAGCACCCAGCCCTGTCCCCAGGTCTGCTGACAGACAGCTTTCTCTGCACCCCTGTGGCTGCCACCACCCAGGCTGATAAAATCGCTGACGCAGATCGCCTGCCCAGCTGCAGGCACTGGCACGGGCCCAGCTGCCCAGATGGCCATGGGCGATGGTTCAGCTGATTGGTAGCTTCATTGCCATCGTCCTACTCAGTTCTTAAAGGTGTAAGTGTTTACCTCACTCCTGGACAATGACAGTGTGGGCAAAGAGGGGAAGCAGACATGGCCCTAAAACTCCTCAGCCGGCAGACTGGCTGGGTAGGGCCAGTGGGGGGCGGGGAAGACACGTGACTATTGACAGATAGTATTGACCAGAGGCAGCCTCCTGGAAGTTCTGTCAGAGCAGCAGTACTCACTGGGCCCAGGGGAGGTGTCTGCTGTCTCTGCCACCTTCCTAGAAGCCAACCCAATACACACTCTCACCTGTCTTGAGCACTGGAAATGAGAATGCCCTTGGAGTTTGCAATCTATTGCCTGGATTTCTCAACTGGTTCACTCATCCCACTTTCACTGAGCGTCTATTATAACAGGGCACTCGAAGGTAGAGATTTGATAAAGGTGCTCCAAGATGCTGCCCACTGTGTCGTCACACCTGTGTCCACTGGACAGCTGCGACCCAGCATGAGGAGTGGCGAGGAGTGGTAGGCTGACGTGCAGAAGCACAGGAGGGAGAGGGGACACACACCTTTGGGGAGGGGTGGGGTGGGGAGGACTCATGGGCAAAGGGATGCTTGAGCTGAGTCATGATGGCTGGGTGGTACTTTTCCAGGCAGAGAAGTGGGAGGAAAGGCATTCTGCATGGAGGCACACAGTGTGCCAGAGCAGAGAGGTGTGAACAAGAGTGCGTGCTCGGGATGTGAGTAATGCGGGGTCATGGGGTGAGCAGGAGTGCGTGGCCGAGGTGGGACTGGAAGCACTGCTTACAGCTGTGGCATAAAGGCTTTGGGCTGCAGCTTGAAGCTGTGGGACCTGCCCCCATGGTCTGGGGAGGCGCTGGGGCAGGGGGACGCATGACCTGGCTGTGTGGCTCCCCGTGAAAGCTCTGAGCTCAGTATGGGTGAGGGAAGGCAAGAAGGCTAGGAGGAGAAGGAGGAGGTGCCAGTGTCTGGGACAACAGCAGATGTTCTGAGCTTGGAGCTGCGTGAAACTGGTACCCCCAGCCACCGAAGCAACTTCTGGCTGCTTTGGTGGTAGGACTGCGGGCAGCTCAGGGGTCCTCAGAGTCTGCCTTGCCCAGCCCCAGCGTGCCACAGCCCACCTCCACCCCTGCTTCTCACCTGCTCGCCTTTGGTGTGGCTGGGGGAGGCATAGGCCTCGGAGTAGTGCTGCCGCTCAAAGGGGCACTCGAGCGGCTCCAGGTGGTGCTGGCTGAAGGCGTCCGTGCGGAGGTGCTTGCGGGGCCCACTGCTGCTGCTCTGGGAGTCGATGCTCAGCCGGCAGCTGTCCTGGTCACCTGGCACCCCCGCGAGGGGAGAAAGCATTCAGGAGACCCGTTCACCCATCCCCAGGCCAGGGTGGAGAGGCAGACTGAACTGCAGAGGGAGGGAAAGGGCCATGTCCCAGGCCTCGGAGCCTCAGGGCTGTGGCTGCCTCAGAGAAAGGCCACGTGCTGCAGGCCGGGAGTTGCCAAGACTACAAAGTCCGAGGCCAAAGTGCGGCTTCTGCCCCATCAGAGCCTGAGCGAACCGCCCTCCTGCACCCCATCCTGCCCTCCGTGCCCCCCACACTCACTGTCATCCATCTTCCTCTTGCTGTCGCTGCCAGGCTGGGCGATCCCCAGCAACCCATTGATGGAGTATGTGGAGCCCAGAGAGTCGGACTGGGGTGACTCCGGGGGTGTCACAGCCGAGCTGGGGACTGCAGGGCACGAAAGGGACAGGGTCAGGTTGTGGGAGGGCCAGCCTGAGAGTCGGGGCCACCAGCACGGAGGAGTCGGGGTGCCAGTGGGAGGGGTTCTGCAGTCAAGGCAGCGGGATGTGTCTCCTAAAGATCTCAGTGGCTCGTCCCTGGAGCGCGCCAGGGCTTGGTCCCCACGGAAGAGCTTGGCCCACACGGAGAGTGGGCTGCATGGGCGTGTGGGTGACCCCACGTGTGCACAGATGGGCACGTGTGTGCTGGGGAGTGTGCCTGCAGGCCCTCAACACTTACTCAGCGAGTGTCCTGGGCTCAGGGACTTGGTGGCCACGCAGTTGTCCATGGGGAGATTGAATGGCTGCTGCACTTTGGTCCGGATGATTCTAGAGGAAGAAAGGCCAGTAGGGAGAAGAGGGTGAAACAGGACCCATGGCTGCCCCAGATCCAGCTGCTTTTTTGAAATCCCACTTGTGAGTCTTAAAAGCACCTCTCACTCAACCTGTCCATATCACACCTATGACCTTACTCCCCACACCTGGTCCTCCCAGCGTTCCCATTTCATGAGTGGTACCACCAGTCACTCAAGGAGTAAGTACAGGCGGGGCTTAACCCTGCCTGCCCCCAGGTCTGCTCTCAAACTGCCCTCAGGTGCTGCGCTCTGACCCCGGAGCCTCCCCAGCCTTGGCCCCTCTCTTCCTCTCACTGCGGTGCCTCAGCGTGCACCGCCACCCTCACACTCCCTCCAGGTCGTTCGCTGGCCACCCTTCCCTCGGGTGAGCTTCTAGTCTCTTCTCCCTTTTGCAGGCTGACTGGACTTTCTGAAATGTAAGTCAGCCTATGCTTAATACTGCCAAGGGCTTCTTGTTGTTCAAGGGCAGAGGCAGGAACTCCGGCCGGGCCCCTATCCCCGAAAGGGCAGCCTTTGCTGATGGCTCCACCTCAGCCTGATTCCTGTTCCCCTCCTCTTTATCTACTGGCTTTCTTTTAGTGTCTTGTATAAGATCCTGTTGGCCACAGGGCCTTTGCATGGGCTGTCTCAGAGCTCACTCTCCTTTTCAGCTAGTGGACTCTTACTCATTACTTCTCACTCAAGGACACATTGTCAGAACTTTCATAAACCAGGTCACTCCATGCGAGCTCACACCCCCTCATGTTCCTCTCCTTAGCAGGGCTGGAGCTGCATTTTTACAACTGTTCATGTGGGCACTTGTATAGCAGGTGTCTTCCCACTAACTGTACGAGTAAGCTCTGCCAGAGCCAAGACTTTGTCCCCAGGGCCTGGTGTATAACAATGAATTGTGTGTTTATAAATGAATAAGTGAGTAAGAAATGACTGATTAAGGTAGTGAGTGAATAACTGAATGGCTAAACAACTGAGTGACTATCTCTCTGAGTGAATGAAGAGTTTTGTGACCAAAGAAAGGATTAATTCAAGGAAAAGATTCTGTTATTGAATGAAAAATGATGTGGTGTATAAAGAAGGAAACTGCAGAGAGTACAGCCAGGTAGGCAACGGGCTGCCTGTGGCCCTGAGGAGGCCAGGGGGTGAGATTCCTGCCCTGTGCTGGTGGGGGGCTTCCCGCCCAACTCCGGGGGGGCCCTTCCCAGGTCGCTCCACAAGCCAGGGCCTTCCTCAGGTCTCTCTCATAAGCCCCAAGGCCCCTGGCTGCTGTCCGTTTCTCACCTGTTGATGGAGCTGACACTGGGCACGGTGTCATTGTCACAGACGCCCTCGGCCAGGAGCCGATCTCGGATCTCCCAGGCAAACATGGTGGGGTTCTGTCGCTTGTAGTCCCCGATCTTCTCCACCACCTTGGGGGTGGCCACCTTGGGCTTGGAGCCGCCTATCACCCCAGGCCGGATGCTGCCAGTCTCGTAGTACCTACTCCAATAGACAACCCATAGATTACCCAGTAGGCAGGCGGGGCTCTGGGCATGGACAAGGGGGGACCCCCCCCAGAACTGGAATTTACTTATAAAGAGTTGTATGCTTATTCTTACATGTTTAAACTCAGTCACCTTCAGAGTACTCTCCATTTGATACAACACACCTATTGAGACTTTCTTCTACTGCTAAAAGCAATTTTTGAGCTTGTCAATTTTGATGCCTTTTAGTGCTCCTGCTGTTTTTTGTTTTACCTCTTCCACATGGGCAAAACGTGTCCCTTTGAGGATTTTCATCCAGGAAACAAAAAACAGTCACTCCGGGTGAGATCAGGTGAAGAGGGAAGGTGTAGTGGAGCGGGAAGGGGGTCCTGCTGTTTTGGTCAAAAACTACTGAACACTCAGCCCAGTGTGGCAGGTGCACTCATAAATCACCCACCATGAAATGAGAAAAAGCACTGAAAGAGTTTTCAAAACAATTCACCAAAGCCAAGTGCAGCCTCTCACAGCAATACCAGCTGGTACACTGATACAGATGGGTTCCTAGAACACTCAATTATGGTGTTTTGGGGGTCACTCCTCATAGCCAGACCCTTATCCCCTCTGAGGCTTCTGGGGAGGAGCGCAGGGTAGAATGTGCCCCCTGGGCTGGCCTCAAATACTTGGCCTTCCAGTGCTATTTCCCTTCGCAGGCAGGTTTGTGCTGCTGCCTGGCTGGAGCTTCTGCTGAGGCACTCAGCCCGGGCCCCTGGCTTCTCCCTCTCTTCTCCCTCTAGCTAGCATGAGCACCTACAGGGCCCACTTTAGGGGGTATAAAAGATTCCCCTTTAAGAAAGAGAGTGTTCACGCAGGTGCCCTGTGAATTATGGGTTCACAGTGGCGGTTTCCTCCGTCCGGCTTCTCTTGGCTACAGCATGACTCACTCTTCTCCTTGGCCATCCTGGGTTTTTTCACCCCTCCCCAGGAGACCAGTTGGGGTCACTGGGCCCTCTGCCCTGTCTGCTGGTTCACCTTTGCTCCCTATTCTCCACCCCCTCCCTCGACAGGCACTGGTTTTCTACCAGGTTACCTGGTTCAAGTGGAAGCCACTCCTCATGAAGTCTGGAATCCCTGCCCAGCCTGTATCTCTGGCCTTGTCCAGCTCCTTAAGCTGAGACTTTGCTCCCAGGGTCTCCTTGCCTCCCCTCCCTTCATCTCCAGCAGGCTCTTTGTTCTGGAAACTCTCTGATCTCCTCTGCCATGAAATGGCACCCACTCTTTAAATTCTGTCTGTTGCCACCACCTAGGGACCACCTCCTCTCTGGTCCACTCAGCCCATCCTGAGGCCCCCTCTCCTGACCCTAGAAGGTGCCACACTTCCCTGACAACTTTCGTGGGGGACCCACAGGTTCCCATGGTTTAGTGATAGGCCCTTTGCCTCCTTAAACTGGAGCTCCTCCTGAATCTGCCCACTTACCTATTCAAACACACATTTACTGGGGAAGGGAGGCAGGTACCCTGAGCTGACTTGAAGCTCCCAACCATGTGCCTCGGGGACACTCCTGATGGGAGTGGTTTTCCAGACCAGGTTGTGTGGCTACAACAGCCTGGATACAGGGCTCTGCTGCCCCTGGTTTCTCCTGAACCTGAGCTCGGCGGTTCTCGGCTCTGGCTTTAGGACATGAGAATCATTTGAGGGCCTGGATAATACCAAACCAGGGTATAGAACTTCCCCTAACGTTCTGTTTTAACGGCCATGGGCTGGGGCCTAGGCCTTGATTTTTTTTTAAATTGAAGTTTCCAGGTGACTTGAACGTGCAGGGTCACCTGGTCATCACATAAAGCTCAGAGCATCCAGGCTGCCAGAGAGGGCAGAGGCCTGGGGACCTGTGTGCCATCAAGCAGCCCTGCGCCTCTGGGGCAGGTGCTCGGGGAGTTACAGTTTGAGAAGCACAGAGTCAGACATCCCTCGTGCAGGGGTTCCACCTTGGAAGCCACGCCTGATAGGGAGTCCCTTCCCTGGGGGCCCCCCTCCCTCAGTCTCAGCAGGGCGGGAGCTTTGGGGAAGAGTCTCCTGCTGCAGGGTGGAGAAGCCTTTAGAAAATGAGACGTGAGGCGAGGAGAAAAGGAAGAGGGAGGAACGAAGGAAAGAAGAAAAGGCTAACGAAAGAAGGAAGAAAGGAAGGGCAGGAACACAACAGAAGAGCATCGGCTGGGGGCCCAGAGGTACTACCACACCCTGTCCAGGTCCTGGGACCTTGGGCCCCTGGCGGGGAGGGTGGCTGCAAAGTTGGCAGGTGCAGAGACCAGCCCTTTGGGAAGGTGGTATGTGGTAAAGTTCGTGCTTACCTGCCAAGGATCTTGCTGACACAGCCATGGCTGACGCGGAGCTGGCGGGAGATGTCGCAAGGCCTCACGCCCTGGTGGGCCAGGTCCACGATGCGCTGCCGCACCACTTCCGGCAGGGGTCTGCCGTTCACAAAGGCCCCTCCCAGCTGGTTCAGCCCTCCGTGGCCTGAGAAGACAGTAGTCCCAGTACAGTTGTCAGGGCCAAGTAGGGCAGCCCGGTTCACTCTGAGTGCACCCACCAATTCAAGCACACATGTATTGCATGCCTCCTATGTGGCAGGCACTGTACTGGGCCCCGAGGATGCCCAAGTGAATAAGGCAGATGTGACCTCTGTTCTTGCCTCACAAGGTTTATAAAAGTGGGGCCCAGACTGCCAACAGCCCATTAACACACCGCATGACCACTGCTGGGGGCATGGAACCACAGGAGGGGACCAACCTCAGGCTCAGGAGACCACAGAAGGGCTCCTGGAGGGGTCTAAGCTGAGACTGAAGATAAGAGTGTTAGCTGCACGAAGGGAGAAAGGAGGAAACCAGTCCAGGCGGTAGAACTCCAGGGGGAGGCGGAGAAGTGAAAAGGGGGTTTTCTCTTAGACCGATCAGCTCCCCAGAGCAAGCCGGGCTAACGTCACTGCTGCGGCTCCTGTGTCCTGGTGAGGACCCTGGGCTGAGAGTTTCTGTGGCTTGATTCCTATGACCTGAGTGACTCCGCTTGTATGAAGAGGAGCCAACATACAACCAAGGGCTAAGGTTCCCACCACGCTTCCTGGTGTGGGCCTCATGGCCTGGACCGACCCTGGAAGCTGGGCACTGGCCCTGCAGCCCTGTGCCGAGGGGGCACAGCCTGGGCACACGCAGTCTTTTCCCTCCAGGGCAGGATGTGGTGACTGGCGGTGAGGGTGGAGCCCTGCGGGCGGCCGTGGGCTGTCGGGGGAGCAGGCAGGCGAGGAGGAGAGCAGAGCCAGGCCTGCTGGGTGACCCCGTTAAGGACTGCTTACGGCCGAGATGGGAAGTGCCTCTGCTGGGCACATCGTGCCCATACCGCCCACTGACTTAGCACATTCAGAACTGCTGTGCAATGTCTCCTCAGGGGCCCAAGCTGTCTTTGGTACAAGAGTCAATGTTCAAAAAAAAAAAAAAAAGGCCAAAAGCTTCTGTCCTGGGCAAGAAGTCAGGGGGAAAAGCCCGTTGGCCAAACACTCGGCAGAAGGGACACGATGACCCATCTTCTCGGTGAGCATGGGTACAACTTCCAACCTTGCCATTCCAGGCAACATGACCTTCAGATGTTTTTCTACCGGGGCTGGAAGAAATCTGCAGGGCATTGGGGCTCCCAGAAGGTGGAGGAGTGGCCTGGGCCCACTCCTGAGCCCATCCCACTGGCTTCTCACTTGCCACAGCCTGTCCCTGGAGAATGGCTGCAGCCTATTGACCTGCATTCCCTCTTGGCTGCCTTCAGCTCTTTGGGGTGCAGACACTGAACACAAGGGGGCGCCAGATGGCCACTCAAACCTAGAGAAGCCTTTGAGTGTCCAGCTCTGCCCCCATTTCCCAGAACATGGCTCCTGGTCATCTACCCAGGCTTAGGTGTTTGCACTCGGGCTTCTGGACCTGGGCGTGAGGCTCCCTACAGGTGGGGTTCCTCACCTGTAAACCGGCAACAGGTTTAAAAAAGCCAAACACCACTTTGGGGTGGCATGAATTGGGTATTTTGACTTAAAAAATGTACCCCATTTCTCCACTGAAGCTGTGTGGGTTGTTGTCCTTGATCTTCTTGAAGGGCTGACCAGGATCCTTGGAAGCCCACAGCCCCCAGGACCCCTCCTGAAAGGTGACTTACTGGGTCAGCCAGCGTGGGTGTGAAGGGAAAGAGAAGTTCATGCCTCTAAATTCTGAATTCTCTGGTGCTTTATTTTATTTTACTGGTTTCTGAGTGACTCTGGGTTACTGTTCAGAGAGGTGGGCTGATTCCTGCCTTGACTTTGCCTGTTTTTATTTTATCATTTGAGAAAGTTGGGTTTTGTCTCAACCTCAGTGTTTTCATCCAATGAATGGAGCTAAATAGAACCAGTCACTGCATCTGCTGCTAACCTGTAACAATTGTTATAAAAAGATGGGGAGAGGTGAGAATGGAGAAGTGTGTGTTTAGCTGAAAATCTTGATATAAGTGTCAAGGTTTTCTAATGTTTAATGTTGATATGGTTGCAGATTACCGCCCAAGCTCAGCCCCAAGACAGGGCCAGTGGTGCTCAAACCTGAGCGTGTGTCAGAATCAGTGAGGGGGCTTGGTAGAACATGGAATGTGCAGCCCTCTGGCTTGAGGTTCTGACTCAGCAGGTCTGGGATAGAACCATGAACCTGTGTTTCTGAGATGTTTCAGGTGGGGTTGTGCTGCTGGTCTGGAGCTGTGTGTTGCGAACTAGGCAATGGCTGGTAAAGAAAATTTAAGAGAATAACTAACTACTTGTATACCTCCGACCCCAGCCCCACCTTCTTCTAGAATAATAATTGCTATCGTTTTTATATTACAGTTTCCATTTCTTTTTTTCTCAACACATATGTGCCCAGTGCCCACCATGAATTGGGTACCACCTTGGACAAGATGAGAAACCAGGCCGTCGAGGAATGATGCAGCCTAAGGAAGACGTGTTTTGAGAGAGGTAAGTCCAGGTACTATGGGGCCCATGGGTGGTTGGAAGGAAGCTGTGGGGAGGGATGGCCGGGAGGTAGCCAGGTGAAGAAGTTTCCACAGGACAAAAGTCCACGCACAAGGTCTCAGTGCTCTCGAGACGTGAGAGGCTCACTGCAGCTGTGAGCCAGGCCGGAAGGGGCACTCGGAAGGGGCCCGCTGGCCGCAGATGGAGAAGGCCCCTCCGGTCTGAGGTTTGGAGCAGAGTCCCTGTAATGGAAGGTCGTTTGTCCTTCCTGTGTCCGGTGTGGGGGAGTGGACTCCTTTGGGTGAGTCACACCAAATGCCCAGAGGTGGGTGCAGCCTTCCTGCACTGAAGGGCTGGGACACCCACTGAGCTGACCACCTTTCTGTGTGGCTGTGGACAGGTGGGCTTTGAGTCTGGAAGCTAAAACTGAGTGGGAGTCCCTGGTTGGGCCGGGAGGAAGCTGTGGACCAGGAAGGGGCTTGCAGCTTCCTAAACAAAGGCCCTTTGCATGGTCTGGAGAGTCGTAGGCACGGAATGGCGAGTGTGGAGGAGGAAGACAAGGTGCCTGGCCGGACCCAGCAGGCTCTGGGTGTGAAGGCCCTCAGACAGGGGAGTGCTAACTCTCTGGGGCCGGAGAGGGTTTATCCTGCAGTGAGGCTGTTTGGAGGTCAGAAAGCTCTGGCTGAAGCCTGCTGTCCAAACAGGTATTCTTTGGAAAAGTGACCATTTGGGGAAGTCATAGGACTTTCTTTAAAAAAAAAAATTTCAGTTACAGTTTACAATGTTCAGTATCATTCTGTACCAGTTTCAGGTGTGCAGCGCAGTGTCTAGATGGTCATCTGCTTTCAGAGCGGTCCCTCCGATACTTCAAGCACTCACTTGGCCCCATGCATGGCTATTACAATACTACCAGCTATGTTCCCTGTGCTGTAGTTCGCATCCCTGTGACTATTCTGTAGTTACCAATCTGAAGATTAAGAGGTACAAATTAGGAGACTTTCTTTGGTAATTTCTCCACCCCTTTCAGGCACTGAGGAGTAGGGATGGTAGAAGGAAAGAGGCTCATTGCCTGAAATTCTCGTCACAGCCACCCACAGCGAGCCCTAAACATACGGGTGGTTTCCATGGCCCTGACTGCGCTGTAGTGACCGGACCTGCTTACACGGCTTCAGGCGCCCTGCGCATGTACACCCAGCACCCATCACAAAGGTTTGATTAATGCCTTGGTAAAACACACGTGATAGATGAATGCTCCACAAATATGAGGGGTGCAGCGATGGTTGTCGAGTGCATTCCCCGCCCTGGGCCTCTGAGCCCTGAACTCAGTTACTTTCCTCTGGAACCTGCTATCTGGTTTCTCACACCTCTGCCCCGTCCTAAAGCGGCAATGGTACAATGTCTTGTTCGGTGAACATTTCCATTGAACTACCCTGGGGTTTTTACTTTAGCCCCAAAGAGCGTGTGGTGAGGGTTTGAGCCTTGGCAAGACTGTGGTGGAGGGTGGGGTGTTCTTTAAATCATGCTGTGCACACACGCCTCCTCCACGGCGTGGCGGTGCCAATGCTAGCCCGTCCCGGCTTCTCAGCCCGGTGGTGCTGTCTCTCCGGCAGGCTCACTTGCAGGCTGTGGCCTCCACTGTGGCCTGCCACCTGTTCCGCCTGGCTTGATGCCTTTCTGGAATAAGCCCAGTGCTCCAACCTTCCACCCTGTGTCCACACCGGGAATCACTCCCACATCCACGAGGTGGTGGCACACAGGCCCTCCCATGAGGACAAAGGGGCTGGAGTGCTGCAGGCAGCACCTGCATCTGGCTGCGCCCCAACCGGCTGTGTGGCCCTTGGCCTTGTCTCTGTGCTTGTCCTCCGGCTCCGAAGGGAACCGACTGGAGATACAGCCATTTCTTATTGATCCCTTGCCCTCTGCCTCTTCTGGGTCCAAACTCCATAAACTCTCCTCCCTTCCTTTTATACCATTTACCCCTCCCCGTCGACTGGGGTCTTCCCCTGGACTTACGAACACAATCGAATCCATCCATTTGCTGCCTCCCCAGTCCCTGCCACAACATACAAACACACAAAAAGGAGACCCTTCCCTCGACTCTCCAATGGTTGCTTCCTGTCGTCTTCAACCAGATTTCTCAAAAAGTCTTCACACTTGCTGTTCCCACCTCCTTTGTCCGCTCCCCGCTGCCCAGAGGCCCTCAGGCTGAGCCCCACTGAGCTGGGCCGCCCCACAAAGTGGAGGTGGGGGTGGTGGTGCTGAGTTCTCCCTCTCGAGGAGGTCTCCAGGGCAGTGCTGTCTCCTGGCTCTTTACACCTCCAGACATGCTTGCGGTTTCTTTGTAATGAGGTTCTCTGCCCTCGTTTGCCTCACTATATCTATTTTTTTTTCAGGTTTCTCTCAAATCCCGGTGCTGCACTCACTCGGCGCAGTGGCTCTCAGGGACCCCACCCGATCTCGTTGTTGGACCTGCTACCCACATACGGACGCACGGTGGGCTGGGCGTCCGGCACCTCTAGCCCGGCTCTCTCCCCCACTTTACATTCAACTTCCTGCTAGAAATCGCCTCTGGAGCTGCCCTGTGCTTCCCTCCACCTGCAGTCTTCTCGTCCCTCGTATCTAGTCAGCCCCCACCCGCCCTGAACAGTTCCCCCCAGCTCTGCTTCGCCTCCCAGGGCCAGTTAAGGCTTCTGCTTCCATGTTCTCATAACACCACTTACCTTTCTTGAATGGCTTCATCACTCACATTTTAGTTTTACATTTATATGCATGATTCTATGCGTGAGCAGTAACTGTCCTCCACCACCACCAAAGCTTCATGAGGGCAGGGCCATGTCTGTTTGGTTCATCATTAGCTGATAGCTGGCGTTCAGTGAATATATGCCATGTGAACTGATGGACTGCCTTTAGCTTCCATCCCCCCACGCAGAGTGCTCATCAAATTGCAACGTTTTTCCCTCCTAAATATTTACTTAACCAGTCCTGTCCAGGCATCCCCAGCACAAACACATCCATGGGTTCCTTTATCCACTTGACACATGCTTACTGAGCCTCTATCTCTCAGTCACCAGGCATTTTGCTAGAACTGATGACGTGGGACTCATGAAGTTTGCATGTGGGAATAGTGAAATGCACAAATTATTGTACAACGTACAGTATTGTAAGTGTACAACTATTGCCTGGATGGGTGCTAAGGAGGACACAGCAGGGTGCAATATTGCAAACTATGTGGGGAGGGTGAGAGATGGAGTTCTTTCCAGGTGACCAAAGAAAACCTAAGTGACATGGACTTCGGGACAAAGCTGAGTAGGGGTTAACCGGTCACCTGGGCTCACTGGTCTCTGTGCCCAGCCTTGTGCATGTGACCCTCAGCTGGGAGAAGGACTTTTAAAACCCAAGCCTGACGATGTCACTCCCACGTTTAAGAAAGCCAGGCATGTCTCCATGACCTGCATGGTGAAGTCTAAGCCACTAAATCTGGAGGAAGGTGCCCACAGGAGCTGACCGTGGCTTACGTCCTTTCCTACCTGTCTGAGGCTGGAATATGATGCCCTAGCCATACAGCACTGCTGTTCCTCCTCTGTAGCATCCGAGTCCTCCCATGTCCTTGTTTATGCTGTCCTCCGTGCCGGAGTGCCCTTTCCATACCTTCTCCTGATCAGGTCACACCCGTGCCTGAATTAGTTCAGGAAGCTACTGCCTACAGAAAGGCCTCCTCCTTCCCCGCTTTTTGTCTCTGGCCCTTTCTTTCAAACAGGCCAGCAGAGTAGGGTGTACTTATGCTGGCTGTGTCCTGCTGCACCCACTGTGTGCCCCTTGATGGGGGGCATGGCTGCTTTATCTGGGAAGCCTTAATATCTAGTGTAATGCAGAATGGGTACCCAGTAAGTGCTGAATGAGTTAATTATTGGAGTGAAGGATGGAGGGAAGGAAGAACAGAGGGAGGACAGCAGGTCCCAACAACCTCAGTGGGGCCTACACATTATGTGTCCTGAGCGGAACTCTGTCTTCACAGGCATGCAGCCTTAGACATGAGCTGTTTGAAGACGGGGGTGCAGATATCATCGCCAGGAACAGAGACGTTCGCCCTCTGTCAGAAGCCCAGGGGATGACTCTTGGCCCTTCCATCATGCCTTCGACATCCACTTCCAATGTGTCAGGCTCAGGCCATGGGGAGGAACCTTACGTCTCCTCAGGCTGACCCTTCGCTGCAGCCCAAGAGACCCCAGGTGGTGTGGCCATGAGGACCAGCTCAGCTCCCAGCCACCCACACTCTGAAGTCCTGGCCAGTCGGAGGGCCTGCTGAGGCCCTGGGGACAATTGGGCAAGAAGTCTAGTTCCTTGGATGCTCTTCCTTAGATCAGCCCAGATGGTGGGAGGTCAGCACTGTTCTTCCTTCCCCAATAGGGAGAGCTAGCCAGTGGGGGGCAGAGGCAGGAAGACAAAGGTGGACAAAGAGGCCTCCTCTGGATTAGCCCCTGGTTGGGAAAGAACCCACCTTGGCTGGTATTTTAGCAGTTCTGGACTTAAAAGAAGGGGAAAGAGGGGAAGGAAGAGGGAAACAAGGCTATTGTCATTATTCGACCCCTTCCTCCATGAGTCATGCTTAGGAATAACACCTGTAGCCAGGTGGTAGGAGGTGCTTGCTCTGGAGCCAGGTGAGCAAGACAAACATACCTTGTCCCTGAATTCTCTGAATAGGCGTTAAGGAGGCAGTGCATTATCCCCACCGTGCAGTTGAGGAGATGAGAGGAGGAGGCTGCTCCGTCACCAAGGGGCAGATGGAGACTGGGGCTGCGGCCTGGGCGGAGCCCCTCCCACAGCCTCGCCCTGGCAGGGTGCCTGCTCTAGGACAGTCAGCCCTTCTCTATGAGTGAATGTGACTTCACGTTACCGCCAAGTGTGGGCGCTTTCCAAACCCCACTTCAGAATTCTCGCCAGGTTTTCATTTTGTCAGGGCCTAATTTTATGATTTTATGATTTTCTTTAGTCAGAGAACAAACCTAATTCCTTTATATTCCCCCCCTTCCATGTCGGTTTATGCCCCTCCACTCTTATTCTCACCTCTCCCCCCTCGCCTTGGCTCTGGGTTTTATTCTTCAGTCCTCAGTCTCTCCCAGGTGCCTCGCTTTTATTTCCATCCCTGCTGCTCGCCCTGCTTCCCCTTCTCATCTCCTCCCAGCCCCTTCCCCGCCCCAGTCCCTGCCTCTGGTCGAACATGGCAGCCCTCCCTCCACATCTCCCACCCATTCACCCTCAGAGCCCCCTTCTCTCTGCCACTGCTCCTTTGGCCTGTCCCCTCCCTGCATCGTCTTTATCGCCTGCATGACTGCTCAGGTTCCTTATCCCATCTTCCCCTCAAAGGCATTCACAGCTCACTGTTATTCTTGTATTAGCATTGAACCCATTAAAGCTAATTTGTTTGCCCTAATCTCCATTTATTTTTCCCTAGTTGATATTAGATTTCCCTTTCTATTGCTCCAGCATGATTTTCTCTTTGTCTTCCTAATGGTCTACCCCCCTTTCTTCCTCTATTAATCTGGTTGGCTTCACTGCTTGGTTTCAAGGCCTTTCTCTGCCTCCCCCAGCCCTTAGATTAACCCTGTCCCCTCCCTCTCTGGATGTCCCATGCCCAGTGGATTGCTGAGGACGGGGCTGCTGCATGTGTCAGTAGGCCTGCAGGCTCCCTAAGAGTAACCCTCCCTGCTTGGGGAGAGGCCCTGCCTTGTATGGATGCCTCAGGATCCCCGGGCAGGGAGAGCTCGAGGCAAGTGGAGCACAGATGGCTGCCTGATCCCTGAAGGGTCACCAAGGCCGAGGGTTCCTTGCGTAGGTTCCCGTTTGGGGCTCTCTCAAAGATTTCTGGAGGCCCCTGCAAGCTTTTCCAGGTTCTATAAATTAAAGATGGGCCACTTACTCCCTACAACTAAGATTAGACACCATCTCTCCTCCATCCCCATTTCTCAAACTAGAGACACACCCCTCCCCTTCCTGAAGAGGCAGATGTGTCTACGGGGGTGGCTGCTCCTCACTCTGCACTCTGGTCTGCGTGTTCCCCAGAACAGAAGCCTTCTGAGACCAGCTCTCAGGAACCTCCACCATTTCCACTATCTCCCCGCCAACCTCTCGCTCTGTCCAGCCCTCCATCTGAGCCTCAGTGTCCAGGCCAGTGCTCTGCCTGTCTTCTTAACACCCGGCTCCTTGAGAGCAGGGGCAGCATCCTGTCTGACTGCATGAGCGTGCCTCGCAGGGAGGAGGGCCAGCCCTGTCCCACCCCGGCTGCCACCAGAACCACCAGGGTGTTCCAGCCACTTCCCACCTCTGGTCAGATCAACCAGAATCTCTAGACATGGTGTCCCCAGATATGTATTTTTAAAAAGTTACTCTGGTGATTGCTGAGTTTACAATCACTCAGTAGATGGTCAATATACTGAAAGCACTAATTAATTGAGTAAACATGAACTTCCAGTGCTCGCTGGAGGTCCGCTAGAGGTCATTCGCCTTGGCTCCCTCCCACTGAGCTCCTAGATGCCCCCAGACTCCGGGCCCCATGTAGCCGGGACCATGGTGAGAGGGTCAGGGTCCCTGCATGTGGGACAGCTGGAGGTGAGTGGGCAGGTGTGCCAGCACCAGGGTGCCAGGAGTTGGCAAGCTCACACCCTCTGGGGTCAGGGGCCTATGGATATTAATGCCGTTTTCTAAAAAAAAAAATGGGTCTTTGTTAAAGCAATTTTCAGTTCATTAGATTTCAATTGTGAGTGAGCCACTCTGTGTCTAATAATATTCCAGGCTGTGTGGGGCGGGGAAAGGCAGCTTCTGAGTAGAAGACATGGTCCTTGCCCTTGGGAAGCATGCACGTTAATAACCCCTGACGTGTGTAGAACCTGAGAGTTTCTAAATCCACTCACATGCACTCCATCCTGCAGTTCTTTCTACGACCCTGAGGAACACCTGTGTGTGTGTGTGCGCGCGTGTGCGTGCGTGCTCATGTTCACTTGTGTGCGTGAGGTGCAGAGCCCTCAGAGCAGGGTGGGGGCTGGCCGTCCTGAGGACTGAGCAGCTAGGAACAAATGAAGAAGAACCGCTGTTCCAAGCCTGACATACCGAGCAAAATCTGTGACGAACCGAGTATCTGGTTTCCACACCTGTTGATGGCGGACTCCCAGAACCATAGCAAAGTGGATTATACTCTCTGAAGCCACTCACCACTGCCTAAGGAAACTAGAGGGAACAAGGGGAACAGATACAGCCTGCAGGCTGTGGTTTTAGGGGAGGAAACGGGGGTGCTGAGAATGAGGAGGTGGGGGCTCCGCCCATGCTGACCTTGCCTGTCTGTGCTTCAGTTTCTGCATCTGGCTGAAGGGGAGCAGATGGCCTTTACTGTCCTCCAGTCCTAACATCTGCAGGACTGGAGGACAGTAAAGGCAGGACAGCCCTCAGGCCAGGAACAGAAGGGGGTGCACAGAGCTCTGTGGGGGGACCTTGGGCAATCTCTCCACACAGACAACTGCCAGGAGTGGCC